TATGGCTTTTTAAAACAAAAGATAAGGCGAATTGCATGAACTTTCTCTTTTTCCCTGGTTCATCATTGCAGGTTTTTGAGCTTCCTCTGGGAGCTCCATAAATGCTGCATGTCTAATGAATATAGCACAAAATAGAAGGGTCCACCAAGGCCACTGTGTGTGTGTATTCCTACTTTCCAGGTATTACTGCTTGTGCAGCAGGGGAAGTACATTCACACGGATGCCAACGCTGTAGCTTTATACTCTCTGTGTCCCTTGGACATTTTTAGGTCAGTTCTGTGATTAAATCACAGGAATAAAATGATTCTTCTTCACCTTGGCTAGCCAGTGAAATCAGCTGGGAAGATTTTTAAAAAATGCTAATGCCCCAGAGTTTACTGACTTGGGGTGTGACCTGGGTGCTGGTATTTTTTAAAAAAGCTCCCCAGGAGATTCTAATGTAGAGCCAGCATTAGAAATCACTGTTTAAATGCAATTCTCTTTATGTAGCAACATACTGACTTACATAGCGTTTCAAATTCAATTTAGGTCAATAAATATTTATTGAGTGCTGACTCTGTATAAGGCACAAAGGCAAACTGTAAACAAGTGGCTAGAACCTAGTGCAGACAAGAGTGGGCTAGTGCAAGGAGCAGGGCAGGCAGATCAACAGAGACTCTGTTCTATATAAAATACTATACAGGGGGACCAGCAGGTGGCGTGGTGGTTAAAACCCTGGACGCTCCCACATGGGTGACCACAGTTCGAGTCCTAGACCTGGTGGCTTTCTTTCTTTCTCTTTCTCTAGTCAATTTAAAATGAAAGAATGAATAAATAAAATTTTAAAAAATTTTAAAAATACTATACAAAGTAATCTCTACCTTCAGACTCAAAATATTTGCAACGATTTTATAGAAAGTAGAATTCTGTTTGGTTGGAAGGTGGGAGGATCAGAAAATATTTCACAGAGGCAGTGGCATTTGAGATGGATCATAAAGAACTCATAAGATTTCCACAGGCAGAGCCTGAGAGAGCCTGGCAGAGGCAGAAGGTGGGTATGGGGTTGAAAGCAGGGGTCTGTGTCCGGGTCGCTGCTGCACTGGGCATGTTTTCTGAGTCATGGATGGAATCATAGGGGGTGAGCTTGAAGAGCACAAGGAAGAACAGCGGGTCCACGAATTGACCTCAGGTAGCCATTGGGGGTTTGAAAACTGGAGAACGGTATAACCAGAGCAGTACTTTGGGAGGAATGATCTGATGCTGAAATCTGGGTGGATTTGAATGAGGGAGAACCAGCAGGAAGACCAGTTCTTTTCTGGTTAAAGTCAGAAGTATTGATGGCAACTGAGAACATAAATAAAGTCTGAACGGGATGGTGGGGAGAGGCCACTACAGGGGAATGGGAAGGAAGGCCAAAGTATAAGAGAAATAATAGAATGAACAGGATTTATTGATTGGTGGGATAGAGGAAGCAAAAAATGACTTGGATGTTTCTTATTTGGATGACAAAGAATATGGTGGCACCGTTAATAGAAATCATTAAACTAAGTTGAAGAATGGCTTATGAAAGAGAAGATGGGTGAATTTAACTTTAGATATGTTTAAAATAAACACATCCAGTGGAGCTAAAATTTTTTTCAAATATCCTTTAATGTGATTAAGTTCTTTTTTTTTTTGGAGAGATTTTTTTCGCTATAGGGCGCGTGCGCTCGCCAGACAGACAGAGAGAAACAGAGAGACAGAAAGCGAGAAATCCCCCCCCCAGGGGGATGGTCACGCCGCAATCCCTTCTCTTCCATTTTCCTCTCGGGATCTTGGGCATGCACGCACATGCGCCGGGTGTGAGTTTTAAGCCACCAGGTCCGGGATGCGAACCGCAGTCGACTACATGGGAGTCCAGCGACATAGCCATTATGCTAACTGCTGGTTCCCAATGTGATTAAATTCTTAAAGCATTTTTTTGGGAGAGATTTTTGCTATACAGCTCATGCACTCACTGGAGAGACAGAGAGAAAGAGAGACAGAAAGCGAGAAATCACCAAGTCCTGGTGCAATCCATTTTCCATTCTTCTCTCAGGATTTTGGGCATACATGCATACATGCCTGGCATGTTTTAAACTGCCGGGTCTGGGACTTGAACCATGGTTGACTATGTGGAAGTCCAGCAATGTAACCATTATACCATCTGCTAGTCTCATAAATTCTAAAAGAATTCCTAAAGCTGGGAACTGATTTCTTTAACACAGTAGTGCTCAACAAGAAGGGAAGGTTCTGTCTCCCAGGGAACACATAGACGGCAATGTCTGGAGATAACTCGGGCTGCTTCAACTTCGAGTGGGACTGCTCCTGGCATCTAGAGAGTAGAGGGCAGGGATTCTGGTAAACATCTTCCAGGATGCAGGACAGCCCCCTAGGGCAAGGAATTATCCAGCCCAAAATGTCAACAGTGCCAAAGTTGAGAAACCTTGCTTTAACTATCCAGTAGCTCAAATTTCAGGATTTTTAGGTGTTATATTGTGGGTGAGAAAGCGCCATCTAGTGTCCACATATAATATGTATCCTACTTATTTGCTGAACCACTAAAGAGAACTGATAAAAAGTACTCAGAAAGCCAAGACACAGAGATGAAGACTATCCTCTCACGGGAGAATGGTCTGGGGTTTGGAGAAGTAGATGTGATGACAAGGCTGGGTATACAATCCAGAAGCCATCCGGAGTTAGAAAGTGCTCTTCAATGATAAGAGATTTCATACTAGAAGTGAATATGGAAACACACTTTACAGAACGCAATTCTGTATGAGATGCATTTTAATCTATTATAGCTGCCTGTATTTTATTACTACTACTGCAGTCACAAAAAAGGAACAAAATTTTGTGGCTACTTGACTTAAATATTTATTTACTTATTATCGCCAGATGGCATGTGTGCTTGCCAGAGACAGAGAGAAGGGAAGAGGGAGAAAGCATTCTCCAATGCGGAATGGTCACACCACAATCCCTTCTCCTCCATCTCTCCATCCTGTCATGATTTTGGGCAGACACACACCCACATACACCAAGTAGGGTTTTTAAAAATAATTATTTAATTTTATTTATTATTACTATTTATTAACTTGCTATAGGACACTCAACAGAGAGAGAGGGAGAGAGAGAGAAAGTGAGAAGGCAAGCTGCCAGGTCTGGGACTTGAATCTCAGTCAGCCATGTGGGAGTCCAGTGCCTCAACCACTATGCCACCTGCTGTCCCCCCAAGTTTGTCAGCCCGTCAGGATGGGACTTGGATGGCTCAGCTGGCCATGTGGGATCTTGCTCTTTTAACCAGTAGCTTATAGAGCCAGCCCTGAAATATTTAAGTATGTAATCTATGACATTTTGTTTCATTTAAGAAATAAAGTTTGGAGGGGCTGGCAGATGGTGTGGTGGTTAAGGGCACTGGACTCCCACATGTCTGACCATGGTTTGAGTCCTGGACCTGGAAGCTTGTTTTCTCACTTTCTCTCTCTCACTCTCTCACTTGGTCCCTCTCTGATCAAATTAAAATAAATTAATTAATAAAGTTAAAATAAAATAATTCTTTAAAAAAGAAATAAAGATTGGAAATAAGATTTTTTTTAGAGGTTTTTGCTATAGGGTGCATGCGCTCGCCAGACAGAAAGAGACAGAGAGACAGAAAGTGAAAAATCACCCCCCAGGGGGGATGGCCACGCTGCAATCCCGTCTTCTCCATTCTCCTCTCGGGATCTTGGGCACGCATGCACACACCCTTGGCGTGAGTTTTAAGCCACTGGGTTTGGGATGCGAACCGCGGTCGACTACGTGGGAGTCCAGAGACATAGCCATTACGCTAACTGTTGGTCCCAAGGTTTTTTTTTTTTTTTAGAGAGATTTTTGCTATAGGGTCTATGTGCTTGCTGGAGAGATAGAGTGAGATAGAGACAGAAAGTGAGAAATCACTCCCCAGGGAGGATGGTAACACCGAAATCCCTTCTCCTACATTCTCCTCTTGGGATTTTGAGCACACATATGCACAAGTGCTCAGCATGAGTTTTAAGTTGCCGGGTTCTGGACTCAAACTGTGGTAGACTATGTGGGAGTCCAGTGATATAACCATTATGCCATCTGCTGGTCCCGGAATTAAGATAATTTTTAAAGTTATTTTTAAAAGGGTGGAGAGCACTAGAAACTTATTTGCCAAAGAATAAATTTTGCTTTAAGGAGCAGCATTATACATGCCTTAAATCTTTTTTAAAAGTAATTACTTATTTAATTTTATTTATTATTATTATTTTTAAAAATTTGACCAGAGAGACACAGAGATAGAGAAACTGAGAAAGCAAGCCACCATTTCCAGGACTCGAACCATGGTTGGCCATGTGGGAGTCCAGTGCCTCAACCACCACATCACCTGCCAGCCCCAACATGCCTTAAATCTTACTTCCCCTGCTAGACTGTAAGCTCCCTGAGGGCAGAGACTGTGTCTTATTCATAGCAGTGTCTCTGCGGTATCTAGCATAGCATCTTTTTTTTTTTTTTTTTTGAGAGGTTTTTGCTATAGGGCGCGTGCGCTTGCCAGACAGACAGAGAGAGACAGAGAGACAGAAAGTAAGAAATCACCCCGCAGAGGGGATGGTCACGCCGCAATCCCCTCCTCCATTCTCCTCTCAGGATTTTGGGCACGCACGCACACGCACCCGGCATGAGTTTTAAGCCACCGTGCCCAGGACGCGAACCGTGGTCTACTACATGGGAGTCCAGCGACATAGCCATTACGCTAACTGCTGGTTCCCAGCACAGCATCTTATATAGAGTAGACACACAAATGATTTTTTGAATGAAAGGATTTATTTTTAGGGGCCTGCTAGGTAGTGTGATAGTTAAGGCAGCTGGATTTCACATGGCTGACTGCTATTTGAGTCTAGGGGACCCCCACGGCTTGAAAAATTCTCTGGGCATGTATACCTAAGATCCCAAGAGGAGAATGGAAAAGGGACTGTGACATGGTTATCCCCACTTGACGGAGCTTTCTCACTTTCTCTCTCTGGCAAGCACATGCCACCTACAGCAAGTTAAAAATAAAAATGATTTCTATGCTGGAAATCCTTGCCTTGGCATAAAGAACGTTTCAAGCCTTTCTAAGCAATTACTATGTTTTTACTTGAAGAAGATACCAGCTGTAGGTGCCTGGTTCAGAGAATCCCAGAGATCTGAGGACAGAGAGTTGATAGCAGACATCTCTAATTCATTTCCCTGGTGAGCGTGGGACAAACTATGCTATGATGACCATTCCTAGGGACATTTTTGGACTAGTGCATGAATTATGGATTTCTATGTCTGATATAAAATTCATTAATCCAGCAAATACTTGTTGAATGTCTACTTCGTGCTGGGTGCTCTTCTAGACACCAGGGTTATTGCAATTATCTTAAGTCAAAAAATTCCTTAAGTTGAGAGGCAGACTTTAAATTTGTAAATTAGAATGAAGATGCACACTCCCCTCTTCTCCCACTTTCCCAGTTAGCATAATATTTTCTACATAGAAAATGCAGTTTGATCAATGACCTCAATGTGGTTCACAGTTACTTAGAATCTCTCCTTTTGCAACTGCTGCTCTGCTGGGACGAGTAAAAGAACAACACTCCTTGGTTACTTTTCTTACTTGGCATCTCTTCCTCCCTCACTGCCTCCTACACTTCTGGACTTTTGGGGAGTGGTGAGACATGCATGGGTCAGTATTTCATGGGCAAAGGAGGATGACTCTTGCACGTTTTGGAAGTGGCAAATGAAGCCAGTAGTTTAAAAGGTGACTCCGCAGAAGATCTTTCTGATTGGTTTATTAACAACCCTTTAGTTCTAGAGTCTAGGGATGGGCAAAGTCAGAAAGAAGAGAAACCAGTCGCCATCCCAAAGAAAATGGTGCAACAGGCTGGGGTTCTGCCTGGCCACAGAAGAAGCGCCCTGTGCAATATTGTGTGTTTCCATAAGCTTTTTGTAGCTCAAGCACATTTTGGCACCTTATTATATGGCTCAGTACAGCCCAGGTGGGCAAGTCAAAAGTATTCTCCATCTATGTGAGTTGTATATCAGGACCTCCTAATGCGGAAAGAGGATTTAATGAATTCACCCACTATGGATGTAGTCAATGAACAGTGATAGTGACCTCCTCGCCTTTTTCCTTGGCATTGTTTGGTGATTTATGCTAAGGTCACTACTAACTCCTCCCAGCCCAGGCTTGTGGCCCCTTGTTGTTCCTTGTGGGGCCTAAACATCCCTAACACACAGGGAATAGGGGAGGGAACTTGCTAGTTTTTTCCCAAAGCAGTGGATGACAATTGTTATGACATCTTTGGTTCGCGTGCATTATCTTCTCAAGCTTTTGTTGGGCTCTTTAAAAGGCACAGTCTTGCATCTCTCCCTTAGCTGAGACTGCAAGAGTCCCTGCCAGTTTATCCAAGCCCTCCTTGCCACAGGTTCAGCGATGTGGGCACTTACTCAAATCCAGTGGCTTGGAAACCACCACGTCTGCCTTGTCCTCCTTTCCCCTCCACAGTCTGCACCCTCACACGGCAGGTACCCAGGCATTCTTAAAGTTCATCACTCTCCACCACGCTCCGAGAAGAGCATGAATACACCATTGTGCTCTCCATGGAGGAAAAGGCCGAAAAAATGTCAAGTCCTTTACTGGTGAGAGATCCGTAGCGACTACCACCGGGTCGGACAGACATGGGAGGTGGGATCTGCTGGTGCCACTGAGCTGAAAAACACACCAAAATAATGTTACCGTCACAGGAAAACAATCTAAATATCACTGAATGAACTGAGAACATCAAATTTTGGAAGCTGCGGAACTGAGGAGAAAACCTACAGCGATTCTGCTAACGAGCAGGCACTCAGTAAGGCCAACCCTGAGCAGTCTTTTTCTTCCTTCAGAAGGGAGCAGGAAGCCTGCTCAGGAGGCAGGAAGTGTGGTGGTGGTAGTGGTGGGGGGAGGCTTATGAACTGATTCTAGTCCAAGTCCTCCATCCCCTTCCCTACCTCAGTCCCGCCCCAGGGAGACCAGGGAAACAGCACCTCCTGCTGTTGGTGCTGTGGAGTCAGGACCGAAACTAGGGAGAGGTGAGACAGGACCCGCTGAACTGGGACTTAGCCCCTGGAGGACAGGACTGGGACAAGTCACCAGTGTCAGGACTTAAGAGTACGGACTTTCTCAATTGGAGATCTAGTGCCTTTTTTTTTTTTTTTTTTTCTGACAGAATATGTATGTACTCACCAGAGGCAGAGACAGAGAGGGAAAAAGCAGTCCCCAGTTGGGTGTGGTCATGCTGTAGTCCCTTCTCCTCCCATTTCTCTCTCCTGTTGGGATTTTGGGTAGGCATGCACGTGCGCCTAGTTGTTTTCAAGCTGCCAGGCTGGAATTTAAATCACAGCTGGCCATGAGGGACCCAGCTCCCTTAACTGCTAGGCAATAGGGCCAGGCCCGACCTATTGCTTTCTGATGTGTGAAGAGTAGGAACAGTCAGACTTAACCTGGATTAAGAAACTTAACACTGACCTCTCTCTCCTAAGGAAAAAGTATATTTGTATCAGCCTCTCTCAAAGTGGAATCTTAAGGATAAAGAAATTATCGAAAAGCTATCTATTATTTCCAAGAATGAGACCTAGAGAAAAAGACAGGCCAAGGCCCTTTCTGTACAGTACTTAATTAAAGGGACACTTGGTGTGCACTGAAAAGTAGCAGGGCCCTCAGGTTCTAGACGGAGTTCATCTTACTTGTTATTCTGGTTAATGATATCAAAATAGTTATGAATTTGAAAAACTATAGATCTAACCAATTTGGGGAAAAAAGGAAAAAAAAGAAAAGAAATAAAGAACTACTTTTTTGGGTTAAAGAAGATGTCTCCAAAAATACCAGTTAATGTCAAGAAGTAGAGGGGAGGGCCAGCAGGTGGTGTGGTGGTTAAGGCACTGGACTCCCACATGGCCAACTGCGGTTTGAGTCCTGGACCTGGTAGCTTGCTTTCTCCCTCTCTCTCTCTCTGGTGAGTGCAAGTGCCCTATAACAAAACTTTAAAAATAATAATAAATAAAATAGGGGCCAGCAGGCGGTATGGTGGCTAAGGGTGCTGGACTCCCACATGGCTGACTGTGGTTCAATTCCGGACCTAGTGGCTTTCTTTCTCACTTTCCTTCTCTCTCTCTCTCACTCACTCTCTGGTCAAATTAAAATAAATAAATAAATAAAGTTAAATAAAATAATTATTTTGAAAAATAACAATAATAAATAATTTTTTAAAGTGTAGAGGAGATGAATAGAGTGCACAGATGAATTTAAAAAATTAATTTCTTAGATCACTTTGAAAATTAGAAACATGGTTCAATGGAGCAATACAAAGACCTGAATTTGCTTCCTAGCACTCAATCAGTAGCTTCTCTGGGCTTCAGTATCTTTTCAGCAGTTAACAATTATAATAATCACATGGGTCTAGGAAAACATAAGGGTGTGATTTTGTTCATTACAAATCATTATACAAATGTCATTTGACAGATATTGTTATTATTAGGATAACTATTATTAGAGAAGTCTGACCAATGCAGATTTGTTGAATGAATAAACAAATGAATGGGATCTGGAAAACCCTGCTGGGGATCACAAGCCATGGGGAGTTGTAGTGGGTGGGCCACGGCAGCAAAGAGACAGCATGCAGGTGTGGAATTGTCAGAAGCACAGGCACCTGTGAGCTCTGGACTAGCCGTTTTACTAGTATTAGAAGCCCTCTTTCAGAAGAAGGTTAGACTCTTATTAAAATGAAAAAGTATGCAAAAACCTTGAGGTAACTAGGATGAGATGTCCATTCCTTGGGGCCAGCAGATGGGCGGTACCGTTGCTGGATTCCCACATGGCTAACCGCAGCTGGAGTGCCAGACCTGGTGGCTTAAAACTCACGCTGGCCATGTGTGTGTGTGCGTACCCAAGATCCCAGGAGGAGAACAGAGGAGAAAGGATTGTGGAGTGGCCATCCTCCCTAGGGAGTGATTTCTTACTTTCTGTCCCTCCGTCGAGTACACATGCCCTATAGCAAAAATCTCTCCAAAAAGAAAAAAAAAAGTTTCTTAAACACTCAAGTATATTTAATCTAATTAATTCATTTATGGAAAATACTAGACCTATCTTTTAAAAAAATATACTTGGGGGCCAGCAGGTGGCTTGGTGCTTAAAATGCTGGACTCCCACATGTCTGGCCACGGTTCAAGTCTCAGACCTGGCAGCTTGCTTTCTCACTTTCTCTCTCTGGTCAAATAAACAAATAAAGTTAAATAAAAAATTTTAAAAATGTACATAAGCTGCCTGTCACATACAGCTGTCCAACTAAAGACATTTCACTTACCATATATGTCCAACCTCGCAGTGCATGACACGATGCCGGCCTCGTTCTTGGCTGCCAGCGTGTCCCAGCCAGCATCTGACTTCTGTGCCCGCCCTCGTTCGGGGCTGACAGCGTGTCCCAGCCAGCATCTGACTTCTTGGCTGGCTGAATGAGGAGGCAGACATACCCCGTTGTGTCCTGGTGCATACTGAGGAAAAGAGAGAATATACTCATATTTTATCCATGGGCAGAGTATCCTTGTCAAATTTAGGGCTCAGAGAAACCTAGAGCTTTTCCTTCCTGAAGGGAAAAAATGGGAACCTGACTTAAGGCAAACACCTGTTTTTTTTTTTTTTTAGATTTTTGCCTTAGAATGCACATCGTGCTCATCAGAGAGAGAGGCAGAGACAGTGAGAGGGAAAGTGAGAGATCACCTCCGAAGGCAGATAGCCACGCCACAGAATCCCTCCTCCTCCCTTCTCCTCCTCCCTTCTCCTCTCAGGATCTTGGACATGCATACACACATGCCCAGCATGATTTTCAAGCCACTGAGTCTGGGCTTTAAACCAGTCATGGTGGTGAGTCATGTGGAAGTCCAGCAACACAACAACTACATCATCTGCTGGCCCCATTTTTTTTTTTTTTTTTTTTAAAGCTGGGGGCATGTTTGCTGGTGAGACAGACAGGAAGATGGAGAGAGGGAGAAAGAGAAAGCACCAGCCAATGAGGCATAGTCACGTCACAATTCCTTTTCCTCCATTTCTCCATCCTGTCAGGATTCTGGGCTAACATGCATATGCCCAGTGTGTTTTCTCACTTTCCCTCTCTTTCTGAATGTCTCTGTCTGGTGAGTTAAAAATAATAACAGTAAATAAATAAAAATAAATCTTTTTTAAAAAAAGTATACATTTCTTTTGGTGCAAAACATTGCGAAATTCATGAATAATTTTTTTCACAGTGCAGATTTTATATATCTATATATTATCTATCTATCTATCTATCTATCTATAGATAGATATAAATAATCTATATCAATATCATCTGTATATGGTTCATAGATGCTAAAATTCTATGAAATCTAACAGGCACTACAACATCCTCTGGGACAAATTCCTTTTACTGTGGAAAATAATTCTATATACCAAGTGTTGTTATAGAAACTGCCTTTGTTTGCTTGCCCCCTTGTGGTATAAAATTGAAGTGGCAGAGAAATAAGGTTGATCCGGGATGGACAATCAGGGCAACCACTCTGAGAAATTGGGTCCTTAAACTTACTTACACAACCACCATTTAGTGACGAGTGGCAAAAAGAGTAAGCGGCCTTACATTTTATTTTTCATTTTAAAGAGCTTTACTGGGTACTAAAAATATGACACATGACAAACAATCTCAGAGGTCTTCAGACATTACTTGTGTATGTATATGTATGTGTGTGTGTATTTTTTTTAAAGAGATTTTTGCTATAGGACATGTGTGCTCACCAGAGAGACAGAGAGACAGAAAGCGAGACATCCCCATGCAGAGGGGATGACTACACCGCAATCCCTTCTCCTCCATTCTCCTCTTGGGATCTTGGGCATGCATGTGCACATGCCCGGTGAGTTTCAAGCCACTGGGTCTGAGACTCGAGCCATGGTCAGCTATGTGGGAGTCCAGCAATGTAACTATTATGCCATCTACTGGTTCCCTAGGCCTGAATCTCAGGCCACGGTCGACCATGAGGGAGTCCAGCAACATAACCATTATGCCATCTGCTGGTCCCTACTTGTATATTTTTAAACTTAAAGTTTTAGGGAGCCTGCTGTAGCCCAACAGTTAAACCCTGAACATAGGGAGCCAGAGACCACATGGCCAAACAAGCCCAACCCTGGCCCTGTGGCTTGAGAAACATGCTGGGCACAAGAGCACGCCCCAGATGCGGATAAGATGGCGATGTGGAGAAGGGCTTGTGGCACAACCACGCCCCATTGGTGAGTGCTTTACTCTCTCTTTGGCAAGTGCACATGCCCTCTGCCAATAAGAAAATAACTGAAGTTGGAAAGCTCTGAGAATCCATACAATGCACTATCATCCAGCAACAAAAAGGAATAAGTTCTCGATATGCACAGCGATGTGAAGGAAGCTCAGATGCATCTTTTTTTCTTTTCTTTGTTTTTGGAGAGGTTTTTTTCTGTTTCTTTTTTTTTTTTTTTCCCGCTATAGGGCGCATGCGCTCGCCAGACAGACAGAGAGAGACAGAGAGACAGAAAGCGAGAAATCACCCCCCAGGGGGGATGGTCACGCAGCAATCCCTTCTTCTCCATTCTCCTCTCGGGATCTTGGGCACCCACGCACATGCGCCCAGCGTGAGTTTTAAGCCACCGGGTCCGGGACGCAAACTGTGGTCGACTACGTGGGAGTCCAGCGACATAGCCATTATGGTAACTGCTGGTTCCCCAGATGCATCTTTTTAAGCGAAAGAAGCCAGATTGAAAATGCTCCAGACTTTCGAAGGTGGCCCCGCCAGCCTCAGTGAACGCGGAAATACCTCTGGCAGTGGTGGCTATGTACCTGATCCTCTCTCTGGTGAAAGGGATGGTTTCATTGTCTTTCTTCCAGTAGAACACAGGTGGCGGCATGCCTATTACACGGCACTCCAGTCTCACCGGGTGGCCCTCGGGAACGCCGCAGTTCTGCAGTTTCTCCAGGATCACGGGTGCTTTCTTCACCTCTTTGGCTGAGCAAGAGAAGAATATTTCTCATTGAACAGTAAGTTCCTTCTAATTCATGCTTCAAGTTCACTATAGTCCTAGACCTTAGCAGAGTGGACACGTACCCACCTTGTCTCCTTATCAGAAAACTTCTTGTGCCTCTTAGCAAGGACCACTGCCTTAATAAAGCTCCATAAATGGTTAAAAAAGAAATGACATGAACCAGCAGTTAGCGTAATGGCTATGTCGCTGGATTCCCACATAGTCAACCGTGGTTCGCGTCCTGGACCCGGTGGCTTAGAACTCACGCCGGGCGTGTGTACGTGCGTGCCCAAGATTCCGAGAGGAGAATGGAGGAGAAGGGATTGTGGCGTGACCATCCCCACTGGGGGGTGATTTCTTGTTTTCTGTCTCTATGTCTCTCTCTGTCTGTCTGGCGAGTGCACACGCCCTATAGCGAAAAACCCCTCAAAAGAAAAAAAAAAAAAAAAAAAGAAATGGAGCAATTATCTCAGCACATCCCACAGCAGACATCATTCCACTTCATGATCCACAGGGGATGCAAATTATCATAGGGGAGACAGCCTGAGCCTAGAGAGAGTAGCATGCTGAAGTCACTTTGATAATCATGAGGCCAAACCGAGAACAGAAGGAAACAGTTCCCCAGAATTCCTACGTTTGGAAATTAAAAAAAAATAAAAAAACTCCAGAGGGTACATGTGCTTTCCAGAGAGAGAGTGAGTGAGAGAGCAAGAAAGGACACTTCATGGGGCATGGTAACACTGCAATCCCTTCCTTTCAATTTCTCCCTCCTTTTCAGAACTTGGGGCACTCACTCACACATGCCTGGAATGTTTTCAAGTCTCTAGGTCTGGGACTTGAATCACAGGGTCAGCCATGTGGGGTCCCTGCTTCAATCAATGGAGGACAGGCTGGCCTATTCTGAAATGTAATTCTGGTTGGACTCCTGCCCTGCAGCGCTGATACTTCTCAGCTGTTGATGTTTTGTTGTTGTTATAGGCGTTACAGTGTTTGGTTTGTATCATGTTAAAAGACATGGGTTCATTTGTGTAGTGGTGCACATTCCCTGTGCTAGGCAGAGTCCACTTAGAGATATAGAGAACCTGGGACCAGCAGATGGACTCCCATGTAGTCAACTAGGGTTCAAGTTCCAAACCTGGTGGCTTAAACTCATGCCGGGCGCGTGTGCGTGCGTGCCCAAGATCCTGAGAGGAAAATGGAGAAGAGATTGCGGCGTGGCCATCCCCCTTGGGGGGTGATTTATCGCTTTCTGTCTGTCTCTGTCTTTCTAGGGAGCGCTTGCACCCTACAGCAAAAACCTCTCAAAAGAAAAAAAAAAAAAAGATACAAAGAACCAGCCAGAGTCTCTTCAGAGAGGCAATTACAGACAGATGTAAGTGCTGAATATGTCCTTCCTTTTCTGAGAGCTTTAGAAACACGGTAGGATGGGAAGGAGTGCTTGTGCCTGATGGATCCACTGTGCATGGGTGGTGACATTTGCGTTCGGCCTTAGAGAATGAGGGGTAGGTCGCTAGGCAAAGAAGGGCCTTCCAGGACCACGGATGCAAAGACATGGAAGTTTAGGGGGGGAAAAAAGCCTACTATGGGGACTAGCAGTTGGCGTAATGGCTATGTCACTGGACTCCCATGTAGTTGACCGTGGTTCGAGTCCCGGACCTGGTGGCTTAAACTCACACTGGGCACGCGTGCATGCCCAAGATCCTGAGAGGAGAATGGAGGAGAAGGGATTGAGGTGTGGCCATCCCCTCTGGGGGGTGTTTTCTCGCTTTCTATCTTTCTGGCGATTGCACGTGCCCTATAGCAAAAAACTCTCAAAAAAAAAAAAAAAAGCCTACTATATTCAAGGAATGAGGGACTACAGGGCAGGGCAAATCATCAGAATTCAGCAACAGCCAATTATTTGTTTGATTAATTAGGTATTACAATGGCTCCCATTTGTTGCAGGTATAATATGCACAAGGTACCACATTACATTTTTAGATTATTGATGTGTCTCTGAGAGCTATGTAGGAAATATGGCCCTTACTACAGGGAAGAGCAACTGAGGTAAGACTTGATGGGGTGAAGAACCAAGAATTTCTGTCAGAGACTCTGCGTAGATGGACAATAGCTTTGCAAGGAGTTATGTTCAGGGGTCCCAGTGGCAAACCTTACCTACTACAGTGAGCTCCAGACTGAAGGAGTTTTGTCCGGTTTTGTTGGTGGCAACACATGTATAGGTCCCTGCGTCGCGTTGAGTGAGCGGGTCGATGAGCAGAGAGTGGACTCCGGTCTCTCTGACCAGCATCTTGTGGGAGGCGTCTGGTAGTACAGGTTGGCCATTGAGCAGCCACGTCAGCTCTGGGGGTGGCAAGCCACTTACCTAATGAACAACAGGACAACTGAGGCAGAGGACAGATTGGTAACAGGTAGATTTATTTGGTGTCTGAATTCTTTATCTTTGTTTGGCAGCAAATACAATACATAGTGAGACAAAACATGGGGTGCTGAGAGGCCTCTCTGCAGGGGCCTTGAAAGAAGAGGGGTCTGGATGAATGGCTACATGAATCGTAACTACTGGGTCAGGGGGAAAGTCATGACGCAGTTTGCATAGAAAAACACATCGGGACTTTCCTGATGACCTAATATATGACGTGTTTACATTCATTCCGACGAGGATGGATCTGTTCGGTTATATTCTAGATTAGAATAAAAAATTATTGAAAAGCTACAGATAAAATAGGTCTGCATCTCATTTATAGTACGTCAGAGACGGCAGCTGTACATCGGAGCTGACATGTTGCTTACATACCCAGTGAGCAAGATGGAGGCCAGAGCAAGGCGGCTACCAAACCAGGGCTGCTATCTATTATAATCATGTGGTTGAGTTGAAAAATCCCCATTCCCCCTTACCATATATTTTTTCAAAAGAATTATTTTATTTAACTTTGTTTATTATTATTTTCCAGTTTGTTCAGAGACAGAGAGAGAGAGAAAGAGAGAGAGAGAGGGAAAGTGAGAAAGCAAGCCATGAGGAGTGCCTTTAAACACTTGCTGGCCCCCCTTATCATATTAAAGCAGAATCTCTGGATAGAACCCAGACAAAGCCATTGTTCAGGGTTAAGGGAGAAGAAGTAACAATTAATCCAAATATTATTTGGCCTATTACTGAGAGATTAAGAACCACCTACAGAAGAGGACCCTTTATGGATGTTCGGCCTGAGACTTCCCTAATTTGCACCTAAATATTCCATAGCTTTCTGTATTTTGGGGGCAGAAGAGTTGAATTTCTCTTTGTACTGGGAGATATCCACACTGTTCAATTGGCACCTAGCTTCTGGTTGAAAAATTAGAATGAAGAATAGCTAAAGGCAACAGAGGTCGATTAGCATGAAAAGCCAGCTTCTGTTCTCATCAACTGCCTTGGAGACCTGTTTTCATGACTAGAATTTTCTCAAAGGCTATACCTTACAACGAATTACTTCAAGCATGCAACAAAATCACGTTTGACTTCATGGGGTATATAAGAGCTCTCTATGCTCTTATTCTCTCTAAAAATGCAGAGTTAATATGATATAATACCAATGTAATTTTTATTAAGCTATAAAGATTTTAAAAGAATTGTTTTTTGTTTGTTTGTTTTTAGTTTACTTTTTTGCCATAGGGTGTCTTTCTCTTCTGTCAGAGAGAGAGAGAAAACGAGAGGTCACCCTACCAGGGGGATGGCCACACTGTAATCCCTTCTCCAGTCTCCTCTTGGGATTTTGGGCACACACACACTTGTCCCCCATGGCATTTTTCAAGTTGCTGGGTTCACAACTCAAACTGTGGAATCAGTCATGTGAGATCCAGGGCTTTAACCTCCATGCCAGTTGCTGGTCCAGTATTTTAAAATTTCATGAAATGATTTCATCTTATATTAATTGCTCCAAAAGAGCCTTATGAAAAAGGGTGATTTCTCTCCCTTCCTCATTCTCTCTTCCCTTGTAAATAAACAGACAAAATACAAAATACAGTTGGTCTTCCATATCTGTGAATTCTCCATCTGTGGATTCAACCAACCACCAGTTGAAAGTATTTCAAAAAGTCAATTGCATCTGTACTGAACATGTACAGATTTTTTTTGTTTCACTTGTCATTATTCCATAAACAACACGGCATAACAATTACTTACACAGCATGGATATTGCTTAGGTAGTATAAGTCATCTAGTGATGACTTAAAGTATATGGGTGGATAGGTTATATGTAAATATTATCGTATTTTTAACAAGAGACTTACATATACACAGATTTTGGTATCTATGGAGGGACCTGAATTCAGTTCCCTGGGGATACTTAGGGACAACTGTACAAATAAAAATACATGCAAAACAAACACGAAATATGAGCAGATCTGGCACCAAGGACAGATGCTGTGGTCTACCTTACAGTCCAGCCGACAGAGTCGCCCCTCATGAGCTACCATATCCCCAGGAGCCTGCAGGAAATGTGGTCGGAAAAAGCGTTCTTGTAGGGGCTCTTTGTCTCTTTCTTGCACTCGGGACCTGCCCCTACAACAACAAACATATTCAGGCATTAAACATAGACACTAACTTATACATTTACAACTATAGGGGCCAGCAGATGGTGTAGTGGTCATGGCTGACCCTGGTTCGAGTCCTGGTGGCTTGCTTTCTCGCTTTTCCTCTCTCTCTGGTAAGTACACATGTCCTATAGCAAACTTAAATAATAATAAATAAAGTTTAAAAATTCACAACTAAAGGCATTTAGATTTGGCTATACCTGGAGAACAGGTATATTTTTGGGAGGTGGGAGTAGGGGAAGGCTTGCTGGATTAAAATCAAGTAATGCATAAGGAAATAAATATGTGGGGCTGATGTGAAAAACAAAGTGACGAACAACTCATCCATTATAGGATTATTTAGTGATATCTGTAATCAAATAAACAGGCATTAGCTTCTTTCTCTCTGAAGTTATTCTGGGTTAAGTGGCTCGGCTCCCCTCACTGTGGGTGTGACCAGTTGTTCAAAAGTCATCAAAGTAAACAAATAAATCAGTATTCAATCTGAACCTAAAATGAGAGCCAAAAGAAAAGTCCTGTTTATTACTCTGAACAAGGCAGCAGCAATCCTGTGTCTTTGAGTCATAAAATTCAACCTGGCTATGAATTATAGCAGACTGCTCAAAATGATCGTGAACTTAAACTGGATAAGACTGACCAACAGTAACAGCTGTTCTTGAAGGAAAAAAAAAAAAAAAAGAAGAAGGTATAGTTGCAACGGTGGTGAAATACTGTATCTGAAACATGGGTCGCTATTTTTGTTCCTTTGGTAAGCCACCTTTAATTCATCTGTGTCAGCAGCTATGGAATGCTTTGCTAAGACTTCGTGGCTCCACAAGTCTCAAGGGGAAAGCCAGGCTCCTTAGTGGTTAGGAAAAATCAGAGAGAAAACTAATTGTCTTCTTCTTATTATTTGCCAGAGGGCATATGCACTTGCTAGAAAGAGACAGAGAGACAGAAAGAGGGAGAGAGGGAAAATGAGAAAGCACCCTTACCCCAAAGTAATGGTCAGGCTTCAATCTTTTCTTCTCCATTTCTACCTCTTTTTAGGATTTTGGACATGCTTACACACACACACACAAACACACAGACACACACACACACGGAGCTTTCTTTTTAAAGAGATTTTTGCTATAGAGCATTTGCACTTGCAGGATAGACAGAGAGACAGAAGTGAGAAATCATTCCCCAGGGGAGACTGCTCTGTCATAATCCTTTCTCCCCCATTCTCCTCTCAGATTTTTGAGCATGTACACAAATGCCCAGTGTGAGTTTCAAGCTCCTGGGTCTGGGACTCGAACCATGGTCATCCATGTGGAAGTCCGGCACTTTAGTCACTACACCATTGGCTGGTCCCAAAATGAATTGCTATATCAGAGACAACAACTACAAGATTCCATCTGTATCTATATAATCATTAAAGATTTCTGTTTCATAAAGACATGATGGTAATTTAAATCAATGGGTCTGATTGATCTATTATGTGCACAGGTGCTACTGACGATTATAAAATTTTAACCATTAAAAGTGCATCGGAGGGACCAGCAGTTAGCGTAATGGCTATGTTGCTGGACTCCCACGTAGTCGACCGCGGTTCGTGTCCCGGACCTGGTGGCTTAAAACTCACACCAGGCGCGTGTGCGTGTGTGCCCAAGATCCCGAGAGGAGAATGGAGGAGAAGGGATTGTGGCGTGACCATCTCCACTGGGGGGTGATTTCTCACTTTCTGTCTCTATGTCTCTCTCTGTCTGTCTGGTGAGTGCACGCGCCCTGTGGCAAGAATCTCTCCAAAAACAAAAAAAAGTGCATCGGAGACTAGTGCATCTCAAACTTGAATGTGCTTATGAACCAGTTGGGGATCTTGTTAAAAGGCAGATTCTGATTCAGTAGGTTTGAGGTGGAACTTAAGATTCTAGATTTCAGGGAACCAGCAGTTAGCGTAATGGCTATGTTGCTGGACTCCCACGTAGTCGACCGCGGTTCGTGTCCCGGACCTGGTGGCTTAAAACTCACACCAGGCGCGTGTGCGTGTGTGCCCAAGATCCCGAGAGGAGAATGGAGGAGAAAGGATTGCGGCGTGACCATCCCCCCGGGGGGTGATTTCTTGTTCTCTGGTCTCTGTTGTCTGGGGGGCGCATGTGCCCAAAAAAAAAAAAACCCCCCCAAAAAAAAAAAAAAAAAAAAGATTCTAGATTTCGGGCAAGCCCCCAGGTGATGCTGATGCTGAAGATGGACAAATACCTTTACAATTTGTAAATCCAATACTTGGGTGCTCTCTGTGGTGGGCGGGCACTGGGGAGGGGCCAGAGAAGGAGATTCTTAAATTTTTACCTGTGAGATTGACCGGCAGCGGTTAGTCGACTGCGGATGGGCAAACTCTGCACCATCAAGTGGCCAGAACAGCTGATTCTCCCCTGAGACACAGAAAAGGAATGAGTTTAAAAAACAAAACAAAAAACAGTGCCTTTTTTTTTTCCAATTTATATAAAAATTTCTGGTCCAGACCATTATAAAACTTTGGCTATTATGAGTTTTTCTTTGGGGAGAGGAAGGAAAGCAATATTATGCAACTTCTTAAATCACTGTTAATATTCCAGGGGAGAGATTTTTATTGAGTATTGTTTAGTGTATCGATGATTTCATTTTTAAACTGAGAAACAAGCGGAGCACAAATGTGAAAAAAAAGTTGAATTTTTGTGCATTTAACACTACTTGTGTTTACAATGTAGAGAGCCTGGCCAAATATTTTTACATTTTCTGAATAGAGATTCTTCAAAACTAACATTTCAATTGGAAGAGTAGCTAAGGGTAGAAATGATAGCTCTGTACTTCCTAATTGAATAGATTGAAAATATTTACTCTGCCATATCTTTTAAGAAAATTTTAAGACCGCACTTCATCCAGAAAAGGAAAGTGGGGGCCAGCCAAATGGTATGGCAGTTAAGGTGGCTGGACCTTACATGGCCAACTGCATGGTTTGAGTCCCAGACCTGGCAGCTTGAAAAGCACATCAGAAGCGTGTGCGCGCATGCCCGAAATTCCGAGAGGAGGGTGATGGAGAAGGGATCGTGGTGTGGTTATCTCCCTGGGGAGTGATTTCTGACTTTATCTCACTTTCTCCCTCTCTGTTTTTTTTTTTTTTTCTGGCGAGTGCACACATCCTGTAACAAATTAAGAAAAAAAAGCTGAAAGATGATGACTTTCCAACTTTTACTAAAAATAAGGAAAAAATTTTAAAAGGACACTATGAGTTTGTGGGACAGTCACAAGCTTTATGAAGTACTTTTCCCATTCTCAGAACAAAAATGACAAATCATTCTTTGGTAGAACGATTTAATGACTCTTAAGTGAGTCCACGAGTTTGTAGACACACAAAGGAGTGATAGTACAGGGCCGGCAGGTGGGATGGTAGTTAAGGTGCTGGAATCCCACATGACTGACCATGGCTTGAGTCTTGGACCTGGTGACTTGCTTTCTCATTTTCCCTCTCTCTGCCTCTGATCAAATTTAAAATAATAATAATAATAAATAAAATGTAAATAAATCTGAAAAAAAAAAGGGATAGAACTAATATCCTTTGATTAAAGCTTCAGGGTTGAGTGATTGACCAGTGGCAAACTCGTCTTTGAAGTTGTGTGATACTATGCTCTAGTTACACACGATCACAATGCCTCTCATTCATTTTCCTCAGCAATCCTTAGTAACTCGCACTTCTCCACGTCTCATTCACAATGACATCAACTGCTCCTTCCTCTGCAGCACGGCGCAGAACCTGTGTCTCCACCTGGGGGTTGGCCGCCATGATGGTGTAGTTGCCATCATCCTCACTAGTAGTGGATTCAATGTGCAGAGAACATGTCCCATCTCCTTCTCGCTTCATTTTGCAGTGCTCGTTTCTCTTAGAAATCTGTTTCCCATCTTTGAACCAGTACACCTGAAATGAAAGATAATCAAGGAGAATATGCATGGCTTCAGACATCTTTAGAGGATAACGAAGTGGGGTAGGGTGAGGCAGGGACCAATTTCCATCCCTTATAAAGCGCTTGGGAAAAAGTTATAAAACATATTCAATAATAATCGTATAATTTGACCCTCCACTTGTACCTGTATACTATTTAAGGCAAAAATTCTATATAATTTAGGTTTAAAATAAAGCTTTTGACTATTTTTATTGTACTTCATAATGAACTAAAAAGCTACCCTAAGGATCAGGCATATCTTCAGAGGCAAAATATCAGGCATATCTTCAGAGGCAAAATAATGAAAACTAGGAG